TCAGCAATTGAAATTTTACTTTCACATTCACTGCAAGAAGTGTAAAAATTACAATAATTCAGGTTACTTTTCAGGACTGTGACAAAATCAGAGATAGATTGATGCAACTGTTGTGAAACACTGAGGAAATAGTGTTGTGCAACAATATGAGATACTGTAGGTGACAACATCACTGTGAAATGATCGATTAATTTTGAAAAATTAAGGTCTTTTACAGGATTGTCTGGGCCTAAAGAGTTGTCAGATTATTGTAATGTTCCTTACCAATGGATGAGCACAGGAGTTGAGCTTTCATCTTGTCTTCTTTAATGTTCTTCAAATAGCAATAATTTTCAAAACGTTCCAAATATGATTTGAATTGATCATTATTTGGATCAAAATGTTCAAAAGGATTGATCTGAGGAGTTGAAGTTTTATTACCTAGAGCTGCAGCCAAAACATTCATGATTCTTTCAAATTGTTCTTCATTAATTTTAAGTTGAGATGTTTAACAAAATAAAATATCTTGAAAATAATAGAATAAAACAAGAATTGATAATAGTTTTTTACCAAATCGTCGCCAACTGAGATGACTTGAGTGGAATATCTATATAAATAAAATTAGAGTTTTGTCTGTACATTGCTCAGAATCATAAACTTAGAGAAACCGAAACAAGTCTCATCTAAATTTCTGTCTGTCTTCCAGTCTGTTACGACCCAAGAGCCATTTTACGCGGCCTACTCCTGAAAAACAAGAGTACCTATCAAGTTCCAAATCATTTTAATGTATTCACTGGATTGGCGAGATTGTCTTTATTCATTAAAATATAGCGTCAACACTTTGTAAATAAAATGACGGACGTTTAAAAACCCAATTTTGTGCGATTTTTGTAAAGGTTTCTCCCAATGTTTAGCACATATTCTTCTATGAAATAACGAACAGCTGTTTAAATCAAGATTATTTCTTCTAGCTGTCACTGATATGTTTACATTTAATGTTTGTTTACAAATACCGCAACCATTTCCGATCACGTTTTGAAAGCAAATCCAAACCAATTAAGATTAAAAACGTTTTTCCTTACATAACGGATTTAATTAATCGCAAGTGCAATAATTTGTAGGGTAACAGTAAATGAAAATAGAGATTCTTTGTGCATAAAATTGTTCTTGAGTTTTGATAACCGGGAAATAGACCTTGAATCAGTGTTGTATATTGCTGGGAAACTTACATTTTTTAAATAAGCGTTTTCAGTCAAGACTCGGCACACGACCGACGCGCGTCTTCTTGTCCATAGTAAAAATAAAAGTAGGCCTACCGTGTATTTATGTTTTATTTGTTATGTGTATTAGTGTACAGTTCGTGTATGTGTTTCAAAAACTCCAAGATGCACCTAATGGGGATGCTCAAGACCTTATATTAGGACTGATGATGGCGTTTTAATTTTGCCGAAATGTATCTCCTGTAATAGGATACATTAGGATCGACCAGCGGACACAGGTAATTTAGCCTTTTATTGATTGTCATACCGATCCGGAACAACAACAAACGACATAAAATGAAGTTATGTATAATAAATAGTTTGGCCAGCATATCTGAAAATATGCAAACCAACTACTGTTCTTTATATAAGAAGGTTTCAACTGATACTATAAGATCCCCATGCGTAGAACGGGTACACAGCTAGTTATAATATAAAAAAGACAGAGTGTTGAAATAGAAGTAACTGTGTTATATTAAAGATCAGAATAGAAAAGTAAACAGCATTTGATAATTAATATTTTGGTTGTTATGGTAACAACTGCTTCATATGTTCTTAACCCTTTGCGATCGGAATGAATATTTGCCGTCATTCCTCAGCGGTCGCGCGGCCAGCTCTACTGGCCGCCGCCATTAGCGCACGGAAGTCGGATTTATTTCCACAGCAGTTGTCCTTTGCGATCGGACGGCCAGCGGTGCTGGCCAACATGAAATCCAACGAACACTCGGGCGTCCAGGAGGACTGGCCAACAACATTGTTTTCGTTTGTAATATTCCAAACTGTGTTATGATGCCTGTATAGTGCTGCAACCTAGTGAGGAATTAATAAACTAACCGATCAGCAGGTTTGCAACATTATATAGCAAAATTTGTGGTGGCGACAACAAAAATAAACACCTGTTGTTTTGGCAAAAGTGCTGTTATAACAACCGTTGTTTTGGTTCAGTTTTACAATTGAGTTTTTGGTTATTTCCTCGACAGATTTATGTTTATTTGTAGTTTTAATCTAGTTTAAAGTTTTAATGTAAATATAAGTAGATTAAAAGAACATTTGTACATATACTACGTATACGCGCTACACTTTTATAATAGTTAGGCCTACAATAAAACTGTTTTATCTCTTATAAACATTTAGACGTGTGAATTGGGTTATGTTTGTTATTATTCCAAGCCTATATTTAAGTAAGTAATTATGGACGACCGTTTAAGATCAGACGAATTGAGAGATTTATTGTTTGCCGACGAAGAAGATGCTGATGATCCCGATATTTATTATGGATCCGACCACGAAAGTGACGTAAATTCAACTGATTTAGCTGCAGAGTATGAGGACTTGGTTTTTGAAGAAGTTGATGATGGATATGAAGCTCAAGAAAATTTTGAAGAGGACTATGGAAGTGATGGAGGTCAAGTAGCCTATGTGGAATTTAATGGACATTTAACCACGGAAGCAGTACACGAAAGTGGAAATAATGATGGCATGGAAGTTGAAGAGATTAATGGTGAAGGTGCCCAAGGGACAAATAATGAAGAAGGTATGGGTGTGTTGGGACAGTGGAAGGTATGGTCTGAAGGGGATAATAATTTTAATAAGTTTTCGTGGAAACATGATAGTGGTTATAAGCCACCAAATGACCAAACGCCAACAACACCTTTGGACTTTTTCCAGCTTTTTTCACAAATGATTTAATGTTGGAGATAGTGAAAGAAACAAACCGGTATGCTGCAGAAAAGATACAGAAGAATACACCACTCCAGAAGAAATCCATCTGGCTTTCGTGGAAAGACCTTACGCTGGAAGAGTTGAAAGCTTTTTTTGGACTCATAATTAACATGGGGATGAATGAGAAACCAGAGATAGGTGACTACTTTTCAAACAATTGGGTTGACTACCAACCATTCTTCAAAGATGTGTTCAGTAAGGAAAGATTTTTACAAATCTTCTGGAATCTTCATGTCTCCCCACCTCCATCTGGCCGCGTAGCTGGGACATTAACTCGATCAGGAAAGGTAAGAAATGTTGCTGCATACCTCGATAAGAAATTTAGAGAGTATTTTGTCCCACAGCATGAAGTAAGTGTAGACGAAAGTATGATTGGGTTCAAAGGAAGGATCCTATTTAAATCCTACAACAAGGACAAACCCATTAAATGGGGAATCAAGGTTTTCGTCTTGTCAGATTCAACTACGGGCTATATTTGTGCCATTGAACCATATTTTGGTAAAACAACCACAGATCGCTTGATTAGGCCTGATTTAGGAGCTACAAGTCGTGTTGTTTTACACCTAGTGGACAAACTTAAGCAAACACTGGGAGATGTTGAAGGGCTTCACGTTTTCACTGACAGATTTTACTCCAATCTTGATTTGGCAGAGGCACTATTAGCATGGAAAGCCCATACAACCGGCACTATCATGCTACACAGAAAAGGATTGCCGGAAGAAGTGAGACCAGCTAGGCCTAAAAAGGACAAAGCGAAAAAACAAACAAACAAGAACCTGCCTAAACCTAAGTTGAAATTAAAAACTGGGGAAACAGAAATCTACAGAAAAAATGATGAAGTGTCTCTTCTGTTGTGGAAAGACAAAAACTTGGTGGCTATTTTAAGTACACTGTTCGGTGATAACTCTACCCAAACGGTTAGGCGCTACAAAAAAGGGGGAGTAGGGGAGTTAGTAAAAAAACCTACTGCAGTTTGTGAGTATAATAAACATATGGGTGGTGTGGACATCGCAGACCAGTACATTTCCTCGTACTCATTTACAAGGAAATCCCTGAAATGGTGGAGGAAAATGTTCTTTTGGCTTTTGGAAACAGCAATTGTAAATTCCTTCATTCTATACAATACCAATCAAGAAAGGAAAAATGTAGTTCGCCAAAGACGTTACAGAAAAATGTTGATTAAAGAACTGGTCGGAGAAGTAAGAAATGTCCGAAAACGAGGAAGACCATCATCTTTAGTCGAGGACGAGCGACTGAATGGAAAACTTCATCTGCCCTATCCGCTTGAGGGAGGTAAAACAAAGGACTGTGCGGTGTGTAGCGATAGAAGACCAGGAAAAGAAAGAAAAAGGTCAAAGTTTTTTTGTAAAACTTGTTCTAACAATCCCGGACTTCACATGGGTGAATGTTTCGAAAAATATCATTCAGTGAAAAAAATCCGAGACGATTAAAGAGAACTTTCAACTCATTGTTTGTATGAGTAGCCTATATACGTTCATTTTACACTTTTAGTAAATACGTAATATCAAAGAATTTTCATTTTCAAACAAATGTATGTATATATTCAATATCTCTTCTGTTTTTTTTACTTAATAAATCAGTTGTCAGTATAACATTACGATTGTTTTATTACAATTTATATCCCCTATGCTAACATTGCAGGTTTTCAGTAAAAACAATTCCGAGCTGCTGGGAGCGAGCCGCCATGATGAATGCCGAGGGGGCGTGTACTAGGACTTGGCCAGTACAGCTGGCCGCCCGACCGTTGGAACCAAGTCAGTACGGATTGAATTCCGACTGGCTGCAGACTGCGTTGTGGCCACTCCTGCTGGCCTTCCGATCGCAAAGGGTTAAACACATAACATGGTTTCTGTTGCTTCTGGTCACTTAGCTAGATGCACTCCTGGTTACTTTTCTACTAAGTAAACTTATAAACTTATAACTTCTTACACAAAAAGAGATTTAATTGATTACGATTTATTTTACACTTTATTCTAAAATAATCCAACGTTTGGAAGATTGCTGGAAATGTGACATTACCTGGAGATATACTGGGTCTCCAAAGAAGGTCTGTCAACAATTTGATGGGTGATTGTTTCATCTGTCTCGGGGAACGTTGCTCCAACAAAGAGGGTTTTATCCCAGGAAACCTCAGCTCCGCAGCAACGCAGAGCAAACGTGAGAGGTTCACGAGGTACCTCGCGGTTGAGGAATACTTTGAGGCCATCAAACAGTGACTTGAGTTTGCGTAGCTTATCAGCTTCTGCCTTGGCCTCTTCTATCTTTTCAGGGTCATCGGTCTACACAACAAAAATGTTATAAACAGGGATTTAAAGACTAATTAAATTAAATTTTAAAGTGTTTAGTTGAGCTAGATCCTACAAAATGGCTTAAGGCCATGTTTGTTATTGTTGCATTAGAGTAAAAGGGAAAGGTTTGAGAAAATATTGAAGTTCAAATAAGTACAGTCTAACCTTGATATAACGAACCTCGATATAACGAATTCCTTGATATAACAAATTTTTTTGAATCCCCTAGAACTCTCCATAAGACACAATGTATTTTTTACCTCTACATAACGAACAAAGTGAACAAGTGAACAAAGTCGTCGCTGCATGCGCGCTATGTTACAACTGGAACTGAGAACTGATTTCATTCACTGAGGACTGATGACGACGTAATGCGTAGTAAGCTGGGGTTGGGTGATAAGTTAATATGGCGAATTGTACAATTTTTGGATTAAGAAAAACCTAAGAAAGAAAAAAATAGAAGAACAAAGCAAAGAAAAAGAATAGAAACATCATTATCTTAACATTCCTTTTACGAGTGTTTTTATTATGATTAAGTTGGCTATGATTATACACTTTTATAACGACTTATCTAATAAGTTTTATTATTTTCAATACGATTTGTTTAAACTAAGGCAACACCAATTCCATAGTTGATGATTATTACAGAATTGACATTCCTCTGTTGTGATTTAAAGCAGTACTGTAGCACTGTAGCCTACCGGCCTATCACGAGCAGTAGCTTACAAAACTCTCTACTGTTTTGTTTTGTTCTTTACGTGGTTTATTGCTATACAATACAGTGTTTGGCTAGGTTTTAGGTGGGTTGGAGAAAGCTGTGATTTTAAACTTACAGTTTATAACATGTACCAAGGTCAATGACTAGAAATGTCATGATTGCGCAATATTAAAGTACCCCTTTAGTACCCCAGGTAATCGAGGTTCTACTTTACAATGTAAACACTGTACTGTAAAGTATTGTAGCCTATGCTACTTTAATTGTGTTTTAATGAGATCAAATCACGACATAAGTTATATTGACTGTGACTGATGCTGGTTCTGAACCTCGACTTAGCGAAATTCCTGCAAACCTAACCTCAATATAACGAACCTCGTTTTAACGAAATCCTTGATATAACGAATATTTAGTTCGGTCCCTTCAGATTTGTTATACCGAGGTTGGACTGTAACAGTAAGAAAATTTAATTATAATAAATGATTTTAGTAGCAGTAGAGGATAGTTTTGATGAAAGATACAAACTTTGCAAAATGAAATTAAAAAATATATACCTATTTAATTTGTATACAAATTTAGCAGATTATTTTTTAACATCTTTGGAGATTTTTTCAACCTACATTGAGCCATTGAATTCTTAATATAGAAACAATTGTTTAGCACGGCAGCTTTGCCACAAGGCAGCCCTTATGAGGGAAGCTATGTAGTTAAGGTGCTCTTGTTGCAATCAAATATCACTATTTTAATCCTGAGAAAAGACAGAAGTTTATTGATGGTTCAAAACCCAGCTGGATGATGATTGATAACTGAGCTTATAATCAGTGGTTCTGGCTAATGATACAGATACCCTCATTCAGTAAAAAATGCCGAACAAGCACATTTTGATCAGGGTTGATATGTTAACTTAGCAATATTTTACCGTGGGGAAGGAGTCTAGTTCCACTTCTTCGTCAGGGTTGCTGTCCAAAGCCCCTGTCCGAGCCAGAGGCTGACTTAGGGCTGCCACTCTTTCTGACAGATAAGCTTCTGCATCTACCAGATCATTTTCTTTTGCTTCAGATGCTGCAACGAATTATAATATTTCAAGATTCAAAGTAAATTAGTTTGTACAAATAGAAGTAACAATACATTATTTGCCAACCAATATATAAGTTAAATTATTGGCTCAATATTGCAGTTTAAAATTAAACACCTCTCTTAGTATTCCCGTTCAATGGTGAAATTAAATTTATAAGCTTTTTAAATAAGTTTAACCCATGATAAAAAAATAATATATCAAATTTCAAAATAATCATCTTTTGATATTATTTTATTTTATTTTTAGAATACAGTAGACCCGACCCTAATAGGACCGGACCTAGGTCGGATAACTCAAAAGGTTAGTTAAAACGAGTAATCCCTAAAATCTTTAAAAAAATTAAGTGCTATTCATTTGGAATTAATATAATCGTTATTTTGAAGCCACATGTGCATTATTTATATTTACAAAATAAATTACACTTTTGTATATTTGTATGTTTGTCCTTTATGGACTCCAAAACCGCTCGACAGATTGCAATGAAACTTTTAGGCATTATTAAGCATTATTCAAGGATGGTTTGTGTGAAGTTTGGTAGAGATCCGTCAATAGGGCTTCGCCCCAGTGGCTCTGGAGTTTCCCATGTTAATCTTATGAGTACTCATATTTAAATGGAATTAAAGAATCTTAACGGCTGGTTCAACTAAAATATCTGATTCTGTGATGTTCAATAGCATTAAAAAGTTAATAGGTTTACCAACAGGGTGCACTACATTTTTTTAATTTATGAGAACAGCTAATTTGCAACCAAAAGGTGAGTGAGCGTAGCGAACGAACTCCAACCTGGAGGCGAGTTAGCGTAGCGAACCAGCTAACCTGTAGGCAAGTGAGCGCAGCGAACGAGCTCCAACCTAAAGGTGAGTGAGCGTAGCGAACGAACTTCAACCAGGACGTGATTAAGCCATGCGAACAAGCTCATCTTGAAAATGTACGAGCATGTGACATAAAACGACAATAGGACAGGACTACGTCTGTCGGGCCAGCTAGTTTACAAAATAAATTACAATTATTTCTAGTGATGGTCGGATCCGGATATCGGACTACCGGATCCGCCAGACCAAGCTAGAACCGGCACCCGATCGGATCCAAAAAATTCCGGATCTTGGGCTAGATCCGGATTTGATGGATCCGATTTTTTCCAATTTTTTCCCCGATTTTTTACTAACACAAAGCTATCTGTATCCATGTACAAGACCGATTTTTTCCCGAGTGTTTGTACCTTGATGCAAATAACTTATTGGCAAGGCCATGTCTCTGTGTTTGTATCTTGATGCAAAGAATTTATATGGCAATGCCATATCTCAGTGTTTGTCTCCTGATGCTAATAACTTATATGGCAAGGCCATGTATCAGTGTTTGCCTCTGGATGCTAATAACTTATATGGCAAGGCAATGTCTCAGTGTTTGTCTCCTGATGTTAATAACTTATATGGCAAGGCCATGTCTCAGTGTTTGCCTCTTGTTGCTAATAACTTATATGGCAAGGCCATGTATCAGTGTTTGTCTCTGGATGCTAATAACTTATATGGCAAGGCCATGTCTCAGTGTTTGTCTCTGGATGCTAATACTTATATGGCAAGGCCATGTCTCAGTGTTTGTTTCCTGATGCTAATAATTTATATGGCAAGGACATGTCTCAGTGTTTGTCTCTTGATGCTAATAACTTATATGGCAAGTCTATGTCTCAGTGTTTTGTCTCTTGATGCTAATAACTTATATGGCAAGGCCATGTCTCAGTGTTTGTCTCCTGATGCTAATAACTTGGCAAGCCCATGTCTCAGTGTTTGCCTCTGGATGCTAATAACTTATATGGCAAGCCCATGTATCAGTGTTTGTCTCTGGATGCTTATAACTTATATGGCAAGGCCATGTCTCAGTGTTTGTCTCTGGATGCTTATAACGTATTTGGCAAGGCCATGTCTCAGTGTTTGTCACCTGATGCTAATAACTTATATGGCAAGGCCATGTCTCAGTGTTTGTCTCTTGATGCTAATAACTAATATGGCAAGGCCAAGTCTCAGTGTTTTGTCTCTTTATGCTAATAACTTATATAGCAATGCCATGTCTCAGTGTTTGTCTCTTGATGGTAATAGCTTATATGGCAAGGCCATGTCTCAGTGTTTGTCTCTAGATGCAAATAACTTATATGGCAAGGCCATGTTTCAGTGTTTGTCTGTTGATGCTAATAACTTATATGACAAGGCAATGTCTTAGTGTTTGTCTATTGATGCTTATAACTTACATGACAAGGCCATGTCTCGGCATTTGTCTCAGGATGCAAATAACTTATATGGCAAGGCCATGACTCAGCGTTTGTGTCAGGATGCAAATAACTTATATGGCATGGCAATGTCTCAGTGTTTGTCTGTTTATGCTAATAACTTATATGGTAAGGGCATGTCTCAGTGTTTTTCTCTGGATGCTAATAACTTTTATGGCAAGGCCATGTCTCAGTGTTTGTCTCTGGATGAAAATAACTTATATGGCAAGACCATGTTTCAGTGTTTGTCTCCTGATTTTAATAACTTATATGGCAAGGCCATGTCTCAGTGTTTGTCTCTTGTTGCTAATAACTTATATGGCAAGGCCATGTCTCAGCGTTTGTCTCAGGATTCAAATAACTTATATGACATTGCTATGTCTCAGTGTTTGTCTCTTGATGCTAATAGCTTATATGGCAAGGCCATGTCTCAGTGTTTGTTTCCTGATGCTAATAATTTATATGGCAAGGCCATCTCTCAGTGTTTGTCTCCTGATGCTAATAACTTATATGGCAAGGCCATGTCTCAGCGTTTGTCTCAGGATTCAAATAACTTATATGACATTGCTATGTCTCAGTGTTTTGTCTCTTGATGCTAATAACTTATATGGCAAGGCCATGTCTCAGTGTTTGTCTCTTGATGCTAATAGCTTATATGGCAAGGCCATGTCTCAGTGTTTGTTTCCTGATGCTAATAATTTATATGGCAAGGCCATGTCTCAGTGTTTGTCTCTTGATGCTAATAACTTATATGGCAAGTCTATGTCTCAGTATTTTGTCTCTTGATGCTAATAACTTATATGGCAAGGCCATCTCTCAGTGTTTGTCTCCTGATGCTAATAACTTACATGGCAAGGCCAAGTCTCAGTGTTTTGTCTCTTGATGCTAAAAACTTATATGGCAATGCCATGTCTCAGTGTTTGTCTCTTGATGGTAATAGCTTATATGGCAAGGCCATGTTTCAGTGTTTGTCTCTAGATGCAAATAACTTATATGGCAAGGCCATGTTTCAGTGTTTGTCTGTTGATGCTAATAACTTATATGGCAAGGCAATGTCTCAGTGTTTGTCTATTGATGCTTATAACTTATATGGCAAGGCCATGTCTCAGTGTTTTGTCTCTGGATGCAAATAACTTATATGGCAAGGCCATGTCTCAGCGTTTGTCTCAGGATTCAAATAACTTATATGGCATTGCTATGTCTCAGTGTTTGTCTGTTGATGCTAATAACTTATATGGTAAGGCCATGTCTCAGTGTTTGTCTCTGGATGCTAATATCTTTTATGTCAAGGCCATGTCCCAGTGTTTGTCTCTGGATGCAAATAACTTATATGGTAAGACCATGTTTCAGTGTTTGTCTGTTGATGCTAATAACTTATATGGCAAGGCAATGTCTCAGTGTTTGTCTATTGATGCTTATAACTTACATGACAAAGCCATGTCTCAGCGTTTGTCTCTGGATGCAAATAACTTATATGGCAAGGCCATGTTTCACCGTTTGTCTCAGGATGCAAATAACTTATATGGCATGGCAATGTCTCAGTGTTTGTCTGTTGATGCCAATAACTTATATGGTAAGGCCATGTCTCAGTGTTTTTCTCTGGATGCTAATAGCTTTTATGGCAAGGCCACGTCTCAGTGTTTGTCTCTGGATGAAAATAACTTATATGGCAAGACCATGTTTCAGTGTTTGTCTCTTGATGCTAATAACTTATATGGCAAGTCCATGTCTCAGTGTTTTGTCTCTTGATGCTAATAACTTATATGGCAAGGCCATGTCTCAGTGTTTGTCTATTGATGCTAATAACTTATATGGCAAGTCCATGTCTCAGTGTTTTGTCTCTTGATGCTAATAACTTATATGGCAAGGCCATGTCTCAGTGTTTGTCTCTTGATGCTAATAACTTATATGGCAAGTCTATGTCTCAGTGTTTGTCTCTTGATTGTAATAGCTTATATGGCAAGGCCATGTCTCAGTGTTTGTCTCTAGATGCAAATAACTTATATGGCAAGGCCATGTTTCAGTGTTTGTCTGTTGATGCTTATAACTTACATGGCAAGGCAATGTCTCAGAGTTTGTCTATTAATGCTAATAACTTATATGGCAAGGCCATGTCTCAGCGTTTGTCTCTGGATTCAAATAACTTATATGGCATTGCTATGTCTCAGTGTTTGTCTGTTGATGCTAATAACTTATATGGTAAGGCCATGTCTCAGTGTTTGTCTCTGGATGCTAATAACTTTTATGGCAAGGCCATGTCCCAGTGTTTGTCTCTGGATGCAAATAACTTATATGGCAAGACCATGTCTCAGTGTTTGTCTCCTGATGTTAATAACTTATATGGCAAGGCCATGTCTCAGTGTTTGTATATTGATTCTAATAACTTTATGGCAAGACTATGTCTCAGTGTTTGTCTGTTGATGCTTATTTATTTATTTATTTATAAACCATTTACAATAGCTACAGGTATAAACCCAAAACAGCTATAATGACAAATAATACAATATTAATACATAAAGTGAATAACAACAAAATTACAAAAAGTGCACATAAATAGACAATACAAAACCAGTGATGATAATAGTAAAAAGAGTGACAAGTTAATAAAAATGGACAACGGTTTTGAAAATTTCACTTATTTTTGCTGCAAATCTAAAGGGATGGATTACATTACGTAAGCAAAGCGTTTATCTTAAATTTAAACTGCTTAATAGTGTCAGAAAAAACATCTATTTTACTATTGTGGACATTTAATAAACGTAAGCCTGTAAAAAGTGAAAAACTGTAAAATTGAACAGTGTTACAACGAGGGATATAAAATAAAATTGACGACCTTGAATTATTACGAGGAACATAAAGAGCAATCTTACTCAACAAAAACAAACTATCAACTTTGTTATTTAGGATTTTATACAGAAAAATCAATGATAAAACTTCCCTTCTTAATGTAAGGCTTTGGAAATCAAACAATCCTCTCAATGAATCAGTTGACATATGCCATTCACATCTCTGATTATACCTCTTTAAAAACAAGTATCGTAGAAATTTATTTTGGAGAATTTCTATTGCATTTTTGTGGTATGAGTTGAAAGGAAACCAAACTAAAACACAATATTCCAGCTTACTTCTAACAAATGAGTAAAACAATCTAATAATGGGGTCAATAGTTCTGAAATTCTTGGTATTTCTAATTATAAAACCTAACATTCTATACGACTGATTAATAATCAATTCAACGTGTTTATCAAATCTTAGATACGAGTCAAAAGTAACTCCTAAATCCTTAATTTGGTCAACTCTTTTAAGTTTAAAATCATTTATTGAATACGGAAAAGGGTTGAATAACTTTTTTCTTGTAAAGCTCATCGTAACACATTTTTTAATATTCCATTCCAGGTGGTTATCTAGACACCACATTGAAAGAAGATTAAGAGATGCTTGTAACATATGCTCATCATTCCCTCCTCTAATGGCTCTATACATCTTTAGATCGTCTGCATACAAAAGACTCTTACAGTCAGTTATTATTTCAGGAAGATCATTAATAATGATCAAAAACAGGAGAGGACCCAAATTGGAGCCCTGGGGAACACCTGAGCTACATAAGTATGACTCAGACTTGACATTCTTAACAATTACATATTGAAATCTGTCTTTTAGATATGAAGCCACAAAGGAAACAAAGAGAGTAGAAAATCCAAAACTAGATAATTTAAAAAGTAATATTTCGTGGTTAACTTTGTCAAAGGCTTTAGAAAAATCTGTATAAATAACATCCACTCAGCCTCCCAAATCTAGTTTTGTGTTAATATCAAAGGAAAACTCCAATAAGTTTGTAACAGTTGATCTCTGAGGTAGGAAACCATGCTGTTGAGAGGAGATCTGACTTTTTATACTGGTATAAATAAAGCGATAAATAAGAGTCTCAAAAACCTTTGCAAAGGAATTTATTAAGGATATTGGACGATAATTCTCCAATATCCTTAATAAATTCCTTATTACTTATATGGCAAGGCCATGTATCAGTGTTTGTCTCCTAATGCTTATAACTTGAATGGCAAGGCCATGTCTCAGTGTTAGTCTCCTGATGCTAATAACTTATATGGCAAGGCCATGTCTCAGTGTTTGTCTCTTGTTGCTAATAACTTATATGGCAAGGCAATGTCTCAGTGTTTGTCTATTAATGCTAATAACTTACATGACAAGGCCATGTGTCAGCGTTTGTCTCTGGATGCAAATAACTTACATGACAAGGCCATGTGTCAGCGTTTGTCTCTGGATGCAAATAACTTATATGGCAAGACCATGTTTCAGTGTTTGTCTCTGGATGCTAATAACATTTATGGCAAGGCCATGTCTCAGTGTTTGTCTCTTGTTGCTTATAACTTGAATGGCAAGGCCATGTCTCAGTGTTAGTCTCCTGATGCTAATAACTTACATGACAAGGCCATGTGTCAGCGTTTGTCTCTGGATGCAAATAACTTATATGGCAAGGCCATGTCTCAGCGTTTGTCTCATGATACAAATAACTTATATGGCATGGCCATGTCTCAGTGTTTGTCTCTGGATGCTAATAACTTTTATGGCAAGGCCATGTCTCAGTGTTTGTCTCTGGATGCAAATAACTTATATGGCAAGACCATGTTTCAGTGTTTGTCTCCTGATGTTAATAACTTATATGGCAATGCCATGTCTCAGTGTTTGTCTCCTAATGCTAATAACTTATATGGCAAGGCCATGTATCAGTGTTTGTCTCCTAATGCTAATAACTTAAATGTCAAGGCCATGTCTCAGTGTTCGTCTCCTGATGCTAATAACTTATATGGCAAGGCCATGTCTCAGTGTTTGTCTCCTGATGCTAATAACTTATATGGCAAGGCCATGTCTCAGTGTTTGTCTCTTGTTGCTAATAACTTATATGGCAAGGCCATGTTTCAGTGTTTGTCTATTGGTGCTAATAACTTATATGGCAAGGCCATGTCTCAGCGTTTGTCTCTTGAGGCAAATAACTTACATGGCAAGGGCATGTATCTTTTCAAACCGAATCCAACCCGATTTTTTGGATATCTGCACACCTCTAGTTTTTAGTTTTGTACCTGGCTTACGGCCTATAATCTTGTCTCGAAAATATCCCGTTAGTATTTCAATACCGCCTAATGCTTCGAGATACAAAAAATCTCGAAGTTTCGGGTCTTGTCCATCACTATAAAATACCCTGTGTCTGTGTACAAAAAGATTATCTGTGTACATACAGGGTTAATAAAAAGTCAAGACTCCCCCATCTAATATTTTTCTAAGTTAGAACACAGTATAGTATAGACTTCTTGTACACAGACACAGGGTATTTTACATGTGGAACTTCACATACCCGGCTATCAGTACTGTGGACCTGGAACGAATTTAGGGAAGAGATTAACAAGAGGTGGTCCAGGCATAAATAAATTGGATGCTGCATGCAAAAACCACGCTATATCATACTCAAGATCGAACTATAGTAAAATATACACAGATACCCTTTTGGTGGTCGTGCAAACTTAGCACAAAGTTTCATTTTATGATTTTGAAAAGTATTAGTGTCCCCAAAAAATGAGTGATTATGGGCTCAGATGGAGATTACTCTATATACAAGATATATTAACCTTTAAAAATTACCAATTTAATTTTAAACAGTATGATTTCAATTGGCATTTTTTTAATTACGGTATGTTTTATTTTAACCAGCCCTCATGACAGTCTGTATCTCGATCCGGATCCGAAGATCCGGATCCAGATCCGGTACCGACATTTTCTTGGATCCGCCCATCACTACTTATTTCTTTTTTTAAGTATTGACGATAGAAAAATCACAAATAGACCCAAAACACGGTAAAAGTAATACCTTTAGTAATATTAACTGATGCTTTCCAAATTTATCATAATACAGTACAGAACTTGTTGTCAAAATTAAAGATACAACCAGCCATTTTATCATGAGACAGGATGTTTATTTATACTTTAACATCCTGTTTGCGTGTTGTGGAAATGCTGAGATACTTAGAAAGAGGCAGTGAAACCGAACTGCTCTCAAAACAATGTCGTTTAAAACAAACTGTAATATTTCACGAGCGAGGGCGGATAATCCGATTATCGGTTTTTGCAAGGTCGGTTAAGAGGAGGTCTACTGTAATATGGAGCAGGTACTGATAGCTGGGAAGTTTGAATTTCTGTAGAAGCTTCCTAGAGCGAGATAGCTTTAAGAGAATATTTAACTTGAAACTTACCAGAGAATGAAGCAAAGGTGGGGGGATAGAACAGGTTGAGACTATGGTACAGACGGAAGTTGACAAAGCCCAGCATGATGGTATAAAACTGTGTGAAGGTAGACATGATCTTGAAATCCACCTCTTGTCTGCTTTGTGGCTGTCAAATCAAATTAACAAGAAATAGATGTTTTACTAGTTATTTTAAATACAACTAAAATCTTACTTAAATACATACTACTAGCAGATTTGTCAATACTTAATTGTGTGAGTAGTTGGTTGTCATGAAAATAAATTTGACTAATGAGTTAAACCTTCAAATGCAACCCATCTCCCTTGTTTAGAAAGTAAACTCTCGCACAAAGTGGCAGCTAGTACGGACAACTGCACTACTTGATGGGTTAGCTAACTGGTGTGCATGCGCAGACGAAAGGTAAAAGAAACTGGGAATGAGCTTGCCCTGTCTCTCCAATCCTAATGGTCAGTTAAGACAGACATGTCCAGGGCATAGATGGTCGTATCACTGTAAGTCATAGTTAACCTTCAGCAGTCCCCAAACTTTTTGGTCTGGCGACTAACCTTCATATTGGATTTTTTTGTGACCCAAGAGTTAAATAATATTATTAAAATTTATTATTACTATTTGTATTATTATAAGATATCTATTTTATTTTCTCTTGAGGTTTTTATATGTAGCTACTATTCATAGAAAACGTTCGCAGCAGCATAATGATAATCTGTACCGAATTTTGTAAACTATAGAATACCGGTAAGCATTAAAATGCATAAACATACGCTTGTAAATTTAGTTACCATTCTTTGTCATGTAATGACATATTTGATGTAATATAATGATAATTAAATGCCAGAAACTCAGTATCCATATCCCGTAAACTGATGCTGAGCCGGCCGAGCTCCTAGTGCCAATGCCGCGCCAAGCGATTTTATGCCTATTTTTAATCGCTTAAAAACGATACAAGCAGACTCCGTATCAAAAAAAGCTACAAATAAAAAATAAAATTCATACTTTGATCTAAAACTTTGCCCCAGGAATTTTTTTCCTTACAAAAAAATTAAAAAGTTCCTCGCTTACTACATTTTTTATGTGGCTAATGGTGTTAAAAAACGATCATCAGTTTTAAATGCCTAAATAAATTATAAAAAATATGTTAAGATCAAAACTAACTACATAGTAATAAGCACTGGCTTTTCCAGAAAAATAACATAAATTTATGTTAATAAATAAGTGTAGCAGAGTAGGTTGAGTGAAGGTATGTTTGTGTAAAACAGAGAGACTTATTCGGCCCGTCCGCCTCAGTATCCCATCAATTTGAATGGTGGGCACGGACCGTTTTCCCACCACACAGCGCGCTATCCAGTAGAGTATTGTACATCGATGGCTTGGCCGCGGATTCTAATAGCAGGACAATGATACAAGTTCTATTTTAGGGAATCCTTTGCCCCGTTTGACTTCAGATTCTATTTTTCCGTGTAGAAACTTTGAATCATCAAAAATATAATTTGAATTAACTACAAATATATTCAAATTAATGCCTTGATTTAAATTTTACATCAAAATACAACATTGCACAATCATGATATTTAGGTCATTGGCCTTTATTACGCATCTGGTTGTGTTGTTTCAGAAGAGAAGCATAATTATAAATTGTTGTAGTTGAAAACAATTATTTTGTAAGCCTAAAAACATTAGATAACTCATACAGATAACAACATACAAAGTCATTATTCTTTCATTCTTTCTGGGGTTTCCCTTCATTCACGCATTCAACAAGTTACCATGGTTACTAATCACCCCTTAGGGACTACTAAGCATTACGTAGCCTATCAGCAAACTTTTATCATCACTTATTGATAACAACAGCATTTTTATGACTTTTATATTTCACTAGCTGTCCTACCCGTACCAGGATGAAATAGAAAAATTTTATTTTTATATTTTATTATTATGTTGTATAAAATATTTAGACATCCGCCAACACTTTGAGAAGTAAAACGCAACCATACCACTTTATTTGATAAACGTTTATGGCTTTTAAATCACATAAGTAGTGGAAACCGCCATTTTTGTTGGGATTAATTTTAAATTTTGTATTTGATAATATAAGAAAATTTTACCAAATTTTCCAATGACATTAATATATACCCTCCTAAATAATCAGGTCTATAGGCCTGGGTCTTTTGATTCTTTGGAAAAGCTATGAAAATTGAATTGAGCCTAAGATAAAAGGAATGCCCAGTTATTGTGTTTAGGCCTAGTTAGAAATAATTTACCAGTAGTTATTGAACTATCTTATCAAATTGTTGTTTCAAACATAATATTTATTCCTAAAAATTGTTAACTTAATTTTAAAACCTCTTTATCATGGCTATGCCCTTATCTTAGTAATTAACAAAGGTAAAGTCATCTTAACTGTGTTTCTTAACACAATACTGTTAGGAATAAAGGTTTTAATAATGTATGGACTGTAATTGTTGTTAGAAAACCATGAATGTACAATACTATCATTTTCATAGTAATGTCAATGTATTAAATTTAAAATATTGGTTTAAATAGGTACAATATATATAAGGATTCCTAGAAGAAAATATAAAAAATAATGGTAGCCCCGTACCGTACCGATTTTGTACCAAGAACCGAGGTACAAAATGTTGTACGGTGCCGAACCGTACCGACCTTAAATTTTCTGTACCGCAGATCCCTAGTTTAAGCATAATATTATATGTATACATATCAATGAAAATGTATGCAAAATACCAAATAAAAGTTTTAGAAAAATTACCGTACCTAATGTGTGTTATTTGTCCCATCGCTCACTGTCCTCAGCATCCATTATGAAAGCCCTGTTAGTTATAGTTGTTAAATAAAAAATATAAACAATTGAATATTGATATATGATTAATTTCGTACACTAACAAGGATAATCCTAATAACGATTAAATAAATTTAATTTAATTTACAAAAGATGATTAAAATTTGTTTACATCTGTCCCCAGACCAAAGTGGTAAATCGTGGAAAATTTTACTTCCCTATCACTGTTGGCAGCCGCGGTCTTTTGTTGCAGAGAGGGATAGGTAGTAGCCTATTAGATCCGCAAAGAGTTGTTGTGTACTGTTGCCATTGTTTTTTAGTTAAATATTTAAAAGTTAAGTTGTAAATCAAATCAATCAAGATATTGGAGTCGTTAAACCCCCTTCCCTGCCCTCTCTACAAACAGGGGCGTCGCCTAGGGCGGGGGGGGGGGTGGTAGAGGGCAGAATCTGGGAAAGAGAAAAGTTGGGAATTTTCTTGTCACAAGTTGGGACAGTGGGAAGTCATATATAGAAGAAAAATATATTTTTAAACTAAATAAAATTTAAATATTTGCAAAAATCCATCAAAGATAAAAATGTTGTTTGACTTCAACAAATAAACATGACGTTTCTTTGATTTCATTTAACTTTGATTAAACTAGGCTAAACCATGGCTAAACACGACTTATTTTAAGAAATCAATAATCAATTAGCAGTATAGTTTGTTGGAATTTCATTTACGAAAAATGTTGTTCCTTATTGGACGTATGTTGGCTACCTTGATCCTGTCCTGTGTTGATGATTCTTAATGATTCGACTGGCGAGACTGCGAGTTTGAATTTTGAAAATGCAAGCGATGTAGCTCTTGAGTTGAATTATGTTGTTTGTTAGTGTTTACAAGAAATTCAAAAATATTTTTCATGTCAGTCACATAAACTATATTTTACTAGAGAACCCGTGCGGCTCAATGAGTTTTATGAAAGTTAACATGTTGATCTTAATATCAGCTTCTAAAAGTATTTTAATTTCATTATTTTGTAATAAAATATTTTTGTCTATACTAATTTGTACTAGGCTTATTTTATATCCCTAAAATTTTACACTGCTGCATCTGCTACCACAATGGTTTGTAAAGTTTTTTGGATTTTAAACGATACTTATTCAAGTTTTTTGAAGTCATAAAATTGCATTATGAATTGGTAAAGTTTTGGACGTTTTTTGAATTGAGTAATTTTGTATACTAGCTATGTTTTGTTAATGCAAGTTGATAAATAAATACTGAATTGAGTGTGACTGCAGTGTAGTATAATAATTTGTAGATTTTTTAATATAGTACAGAAATTGATTCCTTGAAATAAAAAATAGTTGGGAAATCTATGTTAAGCAGTTGGGAAATTTGAGGCTTCTCCCCCCTCCCTGGAATTTAGCCAAGCAAAGCCACTGATTACAAAAATAGCGGCTGTTTTCAGAAACATAATTTTTTGGGATTAATACAAAAAACTTATTCTTAGTCACATCCTGTAGAGATAATGGTTCCCATTGGCGAGCGTGGGAGCGGAAATGCCGAGATCCTAGAAATCGGCAGTTAAACCGAACTGTTCTCAAAGTAAGATGGGTGAAAAAAAAACTGTAATATTTTACAATCGAAGGTGGATAATCTGATTATCGGTTAATGCAAAGTCGGTTAAGAGGGGATCTACTGTACATGTGTTGTAAAAATTTGATATTTTGTTTTGCTCAGTTTATATTATGAGTTGTGAGATACTACAAAACTTCAAGAACTTTCACTTGCCCAAAGGTAAGATTTTCACCTTATGTTTCTGTTATTTTTTCTAAATAATTTATAGTTTATCAAATTTGTTTGGATTGAACCCATTTGTAAACTAAAATATAGCTTAGATTCTTCAATGGCTGCCATTTTTCACTTCTGCGGCTCGTCGTTCACAGCCGCATCCCGTCGCCCTCGATATATCCCGTTGCTCAAGCTTATATATTCGTTCTTAATTCAATACAAATTGCAATTTTTTTATAAAATAAATCCTGTTCATTATAACAGGGAATTTTTTTCTGTTTTTACTGTTCAAGCTGAAACAAAAATACAACTTTTGCTTAATACATGCCGGGTTCTATGTTTTAAATGTTAAAGACACCCTGTTTTCTGGTATTCAAACCACTAAAACAAACAACAGAATATCTAAACCTCAATAGTGTAGCATATGGTTAGAAAGCTTATAAAATGGCGCAGTTTTTAACATATTCGGACACTTTCTTGTATACAGGGTGTGAACAAATACAATAGACCAATGTTTTTTTAATTTTTATCAAACATCTTAATTTTTATCTCTGAA